ACAGTACATCCCAACCTAGAGGTGTAAATCGGGTCGTGCGAGGCTATAAAAAATAATGAGAACAAAAAAACAAACTTGAAAAAAATCTTAAACTTTATTTTATATAAATTTTTATGTATACTATATATGCGCCATACTAGGTCATGAGTCCATGCCTACACGACCCACTTTTTTGTGCCATGTCTGCCTATGAACATGAAAACCCAAGTCCGACACGACCTATGTGATAGAGTGATAGGCCAGACCGGCCCGATTTATAGTTCTTTTCCAACCATGTATTGGAAATATCTCCAATAAAAATGTGGAAAATGTTCCAATGCGCATTGAGATGTGCATGTGGGGAATCCGGATCATCTAGTAGCAGTTTAGATATGCATGTTAAACCTGTTAGGTTCTATATGTATGGTTCAATTTAATTTTGCCATTTTTGCACACCTAATGATGCTTTTGTATAATTGTTAGATTGACCATTGCCCAATCTAAACTATTGTGTATGCTGATAAAAAAAATCTAAACTATTGTGTATGATCTAGCTCAGATTGGATCGTCAAAAATTGAAACAGGACAAATGGAAAAAGACCAAGGATGTTACTCCATCACTTTCCAATGCATTGACATTGTCATAAACTGGCCTTCAACATGTCTTGGAGTTGTTTTCACAAGACTTGTTTGAATGTAAAACCAAGAAAATGAAACTATTATGACATTGTGTAAGGGCTACAATTTTGTGGAATATATGGGGAGAAGGAAATACAAGGTTGTTTGACAACAAGTAGTAGGGGGTGGAGGTTTTGACTGACCTGATCACGAAAATGGTAGTTCATTGTGTGCTAATATGTGAAGAATACAAAGATACTAAAACAGATGATCTTTTAAGAGGATAACAAATTATTGTTGGCCTTCCAATGGGAAGCTCAAGGAGAATGATTAATTGGAAGCCACCTTAAATGTTTTAAATCCAATTTTCATGGTTGCTTCCCGAGTAATCCTAGGATTGATTCCATCAGATTAAGTTTTGTAGAGTAGTTGAAGTCGCTAATTCATTGAGAGTTGAACAGTTGGTAGTTTTATAAGGACTTAAATTGTTGGCTTCACAGAATTGGTCTTACAAGGACTTAAATTGTGGGCTTCACTGAACCGAATTAGGGTAAGTATTGAAGTTGATTCTAAAGTGGTGATCTAATGGCTTAACTCTAAAATAAAATCAGTATGGAACTTCATATTTCTAGTTAAGGATGCCAGAAATCTTGGAAGAAACCAGAACTGCTCGTTCAAGTGGATCCCAAGATCAGTTAACTCCCTAGAGATAGGGCCAAGGGTCTATATGCAATCTGATTTTTGTCTTGCTTAAAGTGTTGTGATCAACTTTATATTGCCCTTGTACTATCTCTGTTGCCTATTCTTGACAGATGTGGGTTCTTTATAATATAATTAATATAATGTTGATATTTATTAAAAAATATTTACCTAAATTACTAAAAAATTCCATTCCCTCCTTGATTACTCATCCTCGATATTTTTGCACAAATTCAAAAAAGATGTATCAGCCTAGAACAAGGAATAGTTAACAAACATATAAATAAAATTATCATGCATACAATGCTATAGAAGGAATTAGTTGTCTAGAGGTTAATAAACAAAAAATTAGAATCCATTACTGAAAGAAACAATCTTTCAAATCAAAGATTCCAATTATTCATTGATTGAATGCTAGACTACATGTAACATTATTCAGGAGTCCAATATCTATGTCCTAGCTTGTTTATAGCAGATTTGAATGATATTAGAATTTCTTGATAGATGAAAGTGAAATTAGAATGCTGAATATTGATTCAGATTGATCCTATTTTCTTGCCCAAGTAGGAACTATGTAGAATCTAAAGGAAGTTTCGTGAAACTACATTCCTAAGAATATACTCATTTCTATATGTGCATGCTTAATGTAGTTTATTATGCCAATCCAACTCTTATATGATTCATTAAAAGAATCATGGCACATTGGTACCCAATAAGAGTTGTCTAAACTAATAAAACAACATATGTGATTCTCAAGAATATATTGTATTCTGTCTCTCAATCCACTTTTATCTAAGCATGTATAAAGATTTTTTGTTTATGATTTAGGTTCTAGAGTGTATTAGACATAATTTCTTCATATTATTGACAAAGCAAGTATGAAAAAACTTGTTACCCCACAATTTGCAACTTTCAGTCTAGTAAGACAAGTACATAATAAAACTAATTTTGAACAACATACATGGGAAATAAAAAAGAAGGAGCAATGGACCTAACGAATGCCTTCATATTGTTATAAATAGATTTGCCTTCACCAATACAACAACTATTGTAGTGAAATTATCATCTACCAATATCATGTTAGAATCTTCCTTTGCAACCTGCAAAATATAACAAACATTTATGATGGCATTCAAGAACACAGCCATATAAATGGAGTAAAAAAAAATGATAAATTGTTTCATAAGGGCATAAAATCCAAAAATGGTAATTCAAAAAAAAAACATAGACCATAGAAATACCAATAAATATCTAAATAACCATTAACAGATGCATAAGAATATCACCACATGACAACCAATGAAAAAAAGTACACTGGCTCCAATTATACCCATTGTGAGTTCAATATCATCCAGCATCATAGACTCCATGGTAACCATTTCCCCATTGCTTGTTAAGCTTTCCAAACTAGTGTCCTCATAAGGATCAAATACACCAATTTCATGACAAATTGCTTGTTTTGTAAACAATGGATTGATTATTCTTAGCTCCTTAGAATTGGCTAATACAGTCAACATATCTTAACAAATGAATGTAAAGTGGCACATGTGTTGACTCACCCTTAGTTCAACCAACCTAAGAAAGACAAGATCATTTCAATGGATAAATAATTAGAAGGGTTAAGTAAGAGATCATTAGCTGGATGATTTTCATCACCGCCATAAGTTGTAAATTTAAAACGATACTCCTTGAATTCAAAACCAAGACAGTTGATATTTTATTAAGGCTATGTTTGGTTTGAAGAAAAAGGTAGGAAAACTTATATAAGGTTTTGTAAAGATTTTCATACCTTTCCTTTCCTTTCCCTACTTTTTCCTTCAAACCAAACACAATGTAAGGGATTGCAAAATAAGATCTCTAAAACTTTCATCCAATGGGACAACGGTACCATCACATAGTTGCATATAGAAGAACCTCTCCAATATATTCTCTACTACACCCTACCATAATGTAATACTTCTCTTAGAAAATTTCCCCTGGATTTCAACATTTAGTTGAAAGCAAAGACCTAAAGTTTTTGGTTTTCTTTTGTCAATTTAATTGAATAAATGGGTGCGTGCAGGACAGTTCATGCTTCCATACTAAAGAATTTTTGGGTTTCTTTTGTCGAATTCATACATGCATGCCAGAAAATGTACAATAATCCATGTTTCCATGTTAAAGAGTCGACAATGGCACTTTTTCGCCAGGAGGATAGAAATTACCTGAACCCTCGGAGATCCAACCGGGTGATTATAAATACTTTTGAAAGGGAAAAGTCCACAACACCATTTGGAACTCCCATGAAGGCATGAAAAAGATCACAGGGTCAGCACCAAATGCTGACTGGGAGATGGAGGGAACTGATTGGACGGAGACAACAACTCTTTCTTATTCGTTGTGTTCATTCCTAGAGAGAAGCGAGTGAATTGGGGAATAACAGAGAAGCATCTGCTACAAAGTTATGAAGTTGCATAAGCTCCTAGGTGATCTTCCAAAATCCAAGAAATTGAAAAAAAAAAGGGAATGAATGAAACCAAAACATCCTTTTATGGGTCCCATTGGTTTATGGTGGCTAATTCTTTGGATGGAAAAGCGAAAAAACTCAAAAAATTGGGGCAATATTGGAAATGAAAAATTAGACTATTTGACCATTTCTCTATTTTCCATTCTCCTTTTTATATATAATCAATAGATTATTATTATTCATGTGAGATGTTCCCGATATATGGTGGGATGGGGCTGGTGAGGTTTGAGCTCTGTGAGAAATTAATCCTAATTCGCATGTGGGGCACAAAGAGCTTTTAGTTTAAGAATGACAATTTTCCTCATTTCCCTAATCCTCATGGGGATCTGCCCCATCCTAATGGGGTGGGGATGCAGATGATTCCCCCCAAGGATGAGGATGGGGAAATTTCGGTCTCCATTAGCGGGACAGGGAGAGCACTCCCCACCTTGTTGGATCCCCATAATATATATATATATATATATATATATACACACATATATCTATATATTAATATTTTTAAAATTATGGTTAAATATGTTTGAATCTCTTTATAAAATTATAAACTTTAGTTATTTTATTTTTATTTTTTAAATAAAATAAAAAACAAAAAATAAATCATTAACATTATAAAAAATTATAAAGAATGGGTCCCCGTGAAACTTTATCCCCCTTAACGAGGGTGGGGATAAGAACGGGAATGGAGATTTTCACGAGGATGATAGAGAGAGACTCTCCGTTCCCGATCATTGGGATATGATCCCAGATGTGTTGTGGGGCGTTCGTGCGCGTTAAGTGGGGGCGTTAATGTGATCTCTGCCTCTGGCACCGAAAGCTGAACGGCAGAGCGGTTAGTAGTCAGTACAAGTCCCCGGTGGCATGTCATCGTGTGGCTATGCACATGCCACGTTTTCACCTTCGATGCTAGAGCGATGGCTATGCTCATCCCATAATGCATGGGCGCTTTACACTCGCCCCATAACACATCCCAACCGTGAATTGTGAATACTCCCTATGACAAATGTGGGAAATGTTCTCAATGCACGCCGAAGGGGCGTCAATCTGAACTCACCCTACCATTCTTCCACTGTTAGAAGACTTTAGAGAAGAAAGGTAGTTGTATAACAGCACAATCTTCGGGGCCCCAGTTGTATTCCTTGAGTGCGTAGAATCAACGGGCATTAAACGCTCGTTCAAATAGCACTTCTATGAAGTTGTCAGAGTCATAAACTACGAAATTTATATCCACATGATTCAGAACAAACTCAGAAGCACAGAAATTCCAGCAACAATTGGAAATTTCTTTTATTTTGTTTTTTTGTTTTTTTTTTTTCTAACAAAAGTGCTCACGTTACTCGATTGCTTTCATTCGTATACACCGTTCTGCTGCTGCTTTTTCTTCCAAAATGTTTATTTAGTCAATTCAAATTCCGTATCTGATCCTTTCTAAACTCACAAAATACTTCGAATGGCGATGCTGCTGAAAAGGGTCTGGGAGTCTGTCTCAAACCGTTCTTCGAGTTCTTCAGAAAGGCTGGCGATTGTTGCTCCATCACCATCATCAACGGGCGCGTTTGAACGGATCCCTCCTGATATATTTCTGCAAATTCTCATGTTTCTTGGGCCCAAGGAAGCGGCGAGGCTCAGTGTGGTGTGCAAGTCATGGAAGTTGCTTGTTTCGGATAATCTCTTGTGGGTGTTCTTCCTTCAGAATCAGCCGGAACCATGGGATTCCATTGTATTCGCCGAGACCCATTTGAGATCGAAGAACCCGCTTCAGTAAGTTGTAATTGTTCTTGTTTCTATGCATCGATAAATGAAAATCCATTAGTTTGTTTTTGGTTTTCTGGTTCTGGGTGGTTGAATTATATAAATCTCGTGGTATCCACTTCATGGACTTACTTTTTTTTTGCACTTTTCTTTTTTTTTTTTTCTAGAAGTTGAATTATGTGTAATTTTAAAAGTATTTACTTCAGTTAGTTTCCTGCATGTTTGTTCGTCTGTTTGTTTGTCTAGAAGGGAATTAGTTGTCTTCTTTGAAATTTTATTCTTCTGATTGGTTAAAATATACTGATTTTGATGGTACACACTACCCACTGCAGAGCCATGCAAAACAAAAACCTGTATTTTTCCTGGGGGGTAGTTAAATTAATGGATTTTAATGGTCAATGGATTTGTTCAGGGACAAACTAGAATATTACTTCAATCATGCATATTGATTTTGTACTTCTTGAAAGTGAACACTTGTTAGGAAGCTGCTCTCAGTTAATATTGTAAATTGAAGGTTAACTAGTTTGTTGGATTGTTTGATCAAAAAGTCCTCAATYAACAAAGCTATCTTATTAACGAAAAAAATAGAGCTATCTTGTGAATTGTGATGGGTAAATTTGGAAACACATTAGCTCTTCATATGATACCACTTTATATGAGTTTAACCCTTTCCTCATTGTTTTTGGATTATCATACTGTATACATACATGAATGTTAACTTAGGTGGATTTAGGTTAAACATTTCTTAAAATTTCCAAGGGGCCTTACCTGAAGCTCGAGTCTGATGCTTAAATACTATACTGTAAATTGATACCAGACACAGGAAAGAGAGAAAATGAAGATATGTATTTCATAGATTAGGAAACAAGTAATTTATATATACAAACTAACCAACTTAAGCAAGTGGGCCCAGTGCGCCATCCATCAAGCTAAGAGATTTTTCCTGTTACAACTGTTATAACAGTAACAGGTAACTATAGTAACACCCTTCCCTCCTTCCCCCTCAAGTTGGTGCATGAAGGACACAAATTCCCAGCTTGGACACTAACTGGTGAAACTTGTCTGATCCCAGAGCCTTAGTAAAGAGATCAGCAGGTTGGGAACTTCTGGGCAAATGAAAAGCCTTAATTTCTCCACTTTGGACATGTTCGCATACAAAATGGCAATTGATGTCAATATTGCTTAGTGATAAAGTTCAGATTTGTATAGGTTTCAATTTCAGAATAACAGAAAATAAGAATGAGAAGAAGAGGTAACTTCTCTCTAGTCGGCCAGATTTATTGAGTTTTCTAAATAAAAGCACAATGACTATTGTGCTCCCACTTAAGTGTGGGACACATCACCTAACTTAGAATATAATAGTAATTACATCAAACATATAACATAAAGTAAAATGACTAGACTACCATTCTACAGCCAACTGTAACACTTAGTATGCTCATGGAACACGGGATTGGCAGCTATATGGAGTGCTGCTTTGCTGTCACAGTGCAATTGCATGGAAGGAAGGAAAACTGTTAAAGTAATGAAGAACATGTTTCAGCCACAAGAGTTCAGCAGTGGTAGTGGCCATGGCGTGGCGTGGTACTCAGCTTCCGCAGAGGACTGGGAAATGGTGTGCTGTTTTTAGACCTCCAAGAGAGTGGAAAGGAACCCAGCAGAGTAAGATATCCCATGGTTGAGTGTTGGATTAGAGGGCAACTAGCCCAGTCAGAATCACAGGGTCTTTCATTGGTATTATAGCACTAGACCACCTACAAATGAGTGATGCTAGGCGGCATAGAATACTTTTGGACATAATACAGTCAAATATTTGCAGTCCAATAATATTAATAGACAGTAAGGCATAGAATACTTTTTGAACTTTCATAGACTAGCCTAAGCACAGTTACGTGTATTTGATTTAGTAAAAAAATAAAAAAAATAGAAGTCTTGTATAAATTAAAGAATACAAATCTGAAGTTGAAAATAAATTGGGAAGAAAGCTGATACAAAAAACTGACAGGAGAGTACACTATGAAAGTTTGCATAAATTTTATACAGGTGAAGTCCATTAAAATACCTGGATATACACTTATACACCTTTACAAAATGATGCTACATAAAGATGTAAAAGAACATTATTGGATATGGTTAGATCAATGATTAGTTGCTCATATTTAGGATCTGAATTTTGTGTTAAGCTTTGGCAACTGTAGTGTAACTGTGTATGTTGAATATAAAAAACAATTAAAATGACATTAGAAAGTGATACAAATTAGAAAAAAAAAACATGAAATAGAAGTAGTATGCATAAAAGTAGGGAGTCTCATGCATGTAATGTTGCATACCAGGTTATATTTGAGTTTTATTGGACTTCTAAGTAGAATTTTAATCTTTGTCCTCCTCATTGGTTAGGTATCAAAGATATTCTCAGATATATCCAAGGAACAAAACACCATAAATTAACTTATCAAAGTGATCACTCAGAAGTCACAGGACACACTAACTTCGGTTTTGTAGGAGATGAAGATGGTCAAAAATTAACTTCAAGATATACATTTACCCTTGATGGTGGAGTGGCTTGTTGGTCAAGTAAGAAACAAGGCTGTATTTCCTGATCAACAATGAAACCTGAGCATGTAGCCCGCAGTAGTGCAGCTATTGAAGTTATTTCAAAAAACTTAGGCTGGAGGAACCAGATTTTGTATTTATATTAGGGTGACCCAATCTAATAATAAAAGAAGGGAAATTACAGATGTGTCCCTGCGGCACTAAAATATGGAAAACTGACAGGTTTAACAATCTCATCAAGTTTAACCTTCATCTTCTCATTGTATTTGAAATGTCATACTATCTATGTACTTAGACAACCTATTTGGTTTTTTATTGTAGTGCTTAGTGTGAATCCAATAGATTTTAGTTGAACTTCTGGATTGGTCTGCTTTGTGATCTTGGAACTCTATATCAACATTAAGTTCTTATAGGTGTGCTCAATTTCTTGTGAGGTGTTGTTGTTGTCATTGTTACTTGGGTGTCTTGGTTGGTGGGAGTTTAGGGTTCTAGTTGGAAATAAAATGCTTATCTAATTGATTTTTTTGGTAATAAAAATAAAAATTTATTAAAAAGGAAAAAAAGAGAGTACAAGAAGGGGGAGGAGCCCAAGGCTCTCGAGAGAGAAAAAACTGTTGAGGATTTTGTGTAGATTTATTGGTTAACTTGTTTAGTTAGGGAGTGGGGACCACAGTACACTTGTTGGGACCCTTTAGAGTGGTGTTTTTAAGTCTTTTGTTGAGTTTTTTTGGGTTAGTTGCCCTATAAGGGCATATTAGTCATTGTACATAATTTTGACTTAAAGTATAAATATCAATAAGAGGGGGGGGGGGCGGCCAGATTTGAAAGCTCTCTTATTTTTTTCTCCATCTCTCTCTCTTCTTCTTTCTCCACAGTTTTTTGTTTCTACAGATTTCTATTTGGTATCAGAGCTGGATTTGAGTTTTCCTATGCCTCCCATCATGCAGCCCTAGATCAGCTGACTGCATGATGAGTTAGAGGGCTGATTGATGACCTCAAAAGTGCCCACTTTTTGGACTTTTTGGTAGATCTAAAATCCCTTGTAGTAGATCTTGGGTTGATCACCAAAATCAGGAAGGATTGGACAAGGGGGAGGAATCCTGATTGCAGTACGACTCTTCACTTTTGACCTGGGAAGGGGTGCTCTAGATTATTTGGAGTTCTTAGTGATTTCTGAAGGGGGCTGTTTAAGTTCTAGGGATTTCTGAGGTCTCTAGAGGGAGTGACAACGTTCTCTCTTGTTTCTAATGACTCCCATGGAGACATGATGTCGGTAAAGTAAGAAAGATAGGATTCGATTGATTAAGAGATTTGAATAAATTTTGGAAGGAGTAGATTTGAATAATTTTAGGAAAGTCATATCCTAGGATTAAGGGGAAGATTTAGTCAATCCCTGATTGCGAGAGATTCTAGGGGTCTGCCTTTCCTATCTTTTCTTATTTAAGTTGTATGCTCAATATGTTTTTATTATCAATAAAGAAAATTCTCTTTTCTCTCTCCCTCTATATTTCGCCACATGGTATCAAAGATTTAGGGTTCGACCATGAATTTTAAGGCCGCCATGGTTGGCTCTGGTTCAGCCTCTTCGGATGCTACCAGCGGTGTGACGTTTTCGGAGGGAGGTATTCAGTCAACGGCTATTTCTCTTTCTGAGAATTCTATTCAAATTACCATTCACAAATTGAATGGAAAAAATTATCTTGAGTGGTCTCAGTCCGTGTGGTTGGTGATCGACGGCAAAGGGAAACTCGACTAT